TATAAAGAGACACACAATGAGCCACAGCCCGCCTGTCTGTCTGTCCTCATGTGTTTCACTTCTCTGCCTCATCAGCTGATGCTCGTTTCCAGGCTTTCAAACAGCTTTTAAATCATTCAAACACTAAAACGCTTCAGATTTTGTGTTTTGAAGTTAATTAAATGAACAATCATTGGTTTTCCTGCTGAGTCTCTCTGAAGGAGAATCAGAGGAAACATGTGACTCAGCTGTTTGATGAGAGAACGTGTTAAACTCACCTCATGTGTCTCTGCTCCTCCTGTCAGCTGACCATCATCCCTTCTAGATGTTTCTACTTTTGTGTCTCACTGACTTCCTGTTTGATCCTGTGGCTCCGCCTCCATCATCACACCTGAACTCACCTGGTCAGGTGATGCTTCAGTGTCTGGCTGTTGCTTCAGCACCATGATGGAGGTTTTTCTATCAGTCTGCAGCGCTGCGTCGCCCTCTGCTGGCTGGAGGACGTGCTGTCAAAGTCACTGCTTCAAGTTTCCTAATTAAATTCTGACTTTTAAATAGATTAATTTAAAGCTGCTGCTGCATTTCAACATTTTCTATCAGTTTCCAAATAAGTGGAAGACACTGAAAGAGAAAACTAATATTTTCCCTCAAAACACAAATGTAAACAATTAAAACATATGCAATATAAAATAATAATAATAATAATAATAATGTTAATTAAAAATACTGAAAACAAAAAAGCTAAATTACACAGCAAAAAAATATTAAAAATACAAAACATGAGATAATTGAAATTACTAGAAAAAATGAAAAAAGTAAAAAAATATTACTTCAAAAGTCAATTATGAAGAAAAATTTAAATGCTAAAACTTACAAGGTAAAAATGTGATTTTTAAAAAGGCAAAATTATGAGACATCACCTTTGATTTAATAATATAGTCCAAAATTTTTGTCTTATAATGTTAATATTTTGTAAAACGTGAAGGACACAGTCATAGTTAAAACTCGATTAAAAACTGACAATAAGAACAAAAAAAAAATTGAGTTAAAAGGGCAAAATTAGGATTTTAAATCCTAAAGTCACAATAATTTGATTAAAAGTCCTAATTTTGATTTACTGTACTTTCTAGTCATGTCAAAATGTTCTTTATTTTTTCTTCCTGCTGGTGGAAACAGGCCTCCATTCAAATAAGACAATGAAGATGCAGTTTCCATGTTTGTATGTTTCGTTATCTGTCTGCTGATTGTTTGTTTCATGTGATTCTGTTGTGGGGAGATTTTCTGTCAAACAAACATCATGAACAGTGACTTCAGCTTATTACGTATCAAATCCAAAACTTCCCTTCCTACAAAACATGAAGCTCATCAGCAAATAACAAAGAAATATTTACATGTTTAAGATTTTATTCCATTTCAATAAAAAAAAGAGGAACTCAGACTGTATATTTAATATTTAAATCTTTAGCTTCAGACTGTCACTGAGATTTTGCCCGTGATAAAACTGGAATAGTTGACAGTTTGTTTAAAAGGATTTAAATAAGGAAATTTCTGAAAATTCATGAAATCTGTCCATTTGAAATATTTTCAGAATGACAGAAAATGAGTCAGTAAAGCTTTTCTTCTGACTTAAAACAAATAAAAATTGTAAATAGTGAACGATCTATAGTATGTATATATAAATATTGAATACATTTCAGTAAAATTATTCAAAAATTCAACTTCCTCTCTTCTTTTTCCAGGATTTTTCCTGTGAGCTTCAATTTTTTATATATATTTTTTTGCAATTCTGTCTGAAATCTTGTGGGAAACTTAAAGAACAACCAGAGCACTGTGGAAAGAGAAGGATCCTTCTGTCTTTGGTCTGATTTCCTGAGGTGTTGAACTGCTGCCACTTTAAGAGACGTGAAAATGATTGTGGAAAAACTAGTCAATGTGACACTATTTGGGTTCAGGGATTGTTGGTTCTGGTCCAAATTCATACTGAACAGAGGATCTTTAGCATTTGTTTTTACCTTTTTTATTTTTCTAAGAGGCGGTGAGGTGCTGAAGAGGAAGACAGGTGAAGCTGTAACGTTATCTTTGAGTCAAAAGTAGTTTGTTTTAACTGAGGAAACCACAAACTGAACATTAGCTTGTTCCTGTAAACACGAGTCGTCATAAATCTGGAGAACAGACCTGCGTGTTCAGAGGCTAGAATGTGTTTCAGTGCGTTTCTAGTGAATCTCTCAGAGTAAATCAGCACAAAAAAGTGTTTGGTTCCTCCACTTTAACCTGCAGGAGCTCGTGAAGGCTCCTGGTACGATGTTTTGTAGCCATGGAGGGAAAAACGAGCAAACACCATTTTGTGTGAAATAAAGAAACTCAGGAAGTTTTTAGACGTATTCAGAGTAGAAAAATTACAAACTCCATTTAGCAGATCCATTATTGTGTCTAACTCAGGCAGTAATCATCACTTTCAGGAGGGTTTCTCAATAAAATCAGTCAGAGCAAGAACTGAATCTTCCAGAGAGGTACAACTGTACAATAAGAGACAACTCAGCACAAGTGTGTTTATATAAATGTATTTCATCAGGACAGAGTCGCTGGCCGCTCCACCGAACTCAACGCTAGGATATAAAACATGACATATTTACCGCGAGCATCGTTATCACAGAAACCACTTTATTCTTTTTCTAAGCTTTTTTTTTTTTTTTAAACTTTTTGTTGTGAAAAAAACAAAGGAATAAAAAAAATTTTTAAAAAGGTGACAAATACAAACAAAAATATCTACATTAATATTTACAGCTATTAAATAATAACCCCCATAGGAACAAATTTTCTATCATAGAAAAACAAAACAGAAACATGGTCGAGTGTGACGGGCGACGCAGTGAAGCAGGATCTTTGTCAGCTGATGTCGTTTTGAATCACAGATAGTTTAAAACAATGAAAACGCACATTTCTGTCCGTCGTACCATAAAACCATCAGCAGGTGGATCTGACGCATGTTCTCCTCTACAGCTGAGACTTTTAGCTGATTTCTAAGTTGAAGTTTCTTTTTTTTTTTTATTCATTATGCGACAGTCAATAATAATCAGCCTGAGAGGTAATAAAATGACAGTTTCACAGTTTGTATTCATGTTTGCCAAAGAGGCTTTAAATGACAAACCCGTGGCTGTTTGTGTTCTTGGACTTTGTAAAGCTTGCTTTATACTTTGTGTTGAATCTACACTCACTGTAGCCTGACCTCCTGGAAATATTTCTAGCTGTCGGGGTGACGCAACATGCTGTTTGCACAGATTTGCACAAAGATAATACTTGTGTGAAACTACATGTAACATGAAACAGGCTGTAACTTTATCTGGTTTGCTCATAAAACACAAACAAGAGCCAGTATTCTGCTAAAGCAGCCCTATGTGGTTTTCTTCACTGATCACTGTGTAGACTCAGTCGCTTCTTCTGTCTGTTCTGCACCAGAATTAACTTTTGAAAAGTAAAATGTTGTTCAACATTTATCTGCTCCAAATCCAACATGATCTGTTTCTGCTGCCACGGTTTGAAGTAAATAAAAGAAACTCCACCGTTAACTGGAGTTGTGTTGATGTAACACACCAGACTCAGGAGTACAAACCAAACTGTTGTATCACTGCTTTTACTCGAGTAAACGGAGTAACTGCTCAAAGTAAAGTATCACCAAACGTTGAGGCTGCAGAAACTTTTCCTCACATTTGAGCTTTGACTCAAACTGTCGACGGTTTTCGCTGCTGACTAATCATGTTCCTTATCGGTCTTTATTCAAATCTCAAACATGTTTGGTTTATATCACACGCAGGACAAAGATAAGCAGCTCATCTGCAGAGTTCAGATTGGGGTTTTTTTTTGGCTTTTCTGTTAGAAAAATGACCAAAACACCTCATTAATTCCCAGAACTGTTCAAGTCATAGTTTCAGCTGCAAGTTATTTAAGTTACAGACTCCAAAACCAACATCTGTTGCTCAGGAACTCAATGTTTAGGCCATTACAGCATCTGATAGATCAATATGTCAGCTAATAAACACGCAATCACACGTGTATCAGCTAAATAAACATCACCTGATGTATTACATTAGTATTATGTATTTCATATCTGTCAGCTGATGGGTCCGTTTCCAAAATAACGCTGTTTTTATTTTCTGTTTCAGTTTGAAGCCAACATTAAGATCCTGCTTCACGCAGCAGCCGTCAGCATCGACATCAAACATCCAGACTGCACCAGGTCTGATTACTGCTGAGACACGAAACATTCACCACAGAGAAAAACAACACGGACGACTCCTCTTGTAATTTGAACTTCTGTATCTCACAATTAGGACTCGATAACAGATGAAAAAGATCTCATAAATACAAGAAAAATAAGTGGTTATGCTTTATCACTGTTTGTGAAGGCAGGATGGAGGAATGTAACTTCTGTTTTTTACAGCATGTGGAGCTACAACTCCAGCCACACTTTCCATATTTTGGAAAATGACCAAGGCCAAGTTTGCTATGAAAGCTCCTTTTATGCTACGTATCGTATATTCTGACAGATATTCGTGAATCCCTTTGACACTGTAGAAAACGTGAGGATTCTCAGACAAACTGCAGCGTCATGTTTCAACAGCTTATCCTGATAATGACACTGACTGGCTGGTTTCTGATATTTCTGTGCTGATATCTGACACTTTAAACCACATTCACATTAGAAAAAGTTGACAAAAATATAAAATACATTCCAAAATCAAACTAACTAACTAGGCAACGCTGCTGCTGCCTATTTCTAACACCCTACTGTACATTAGTTCTTAACTGAGAGATACAGAAGTCCTAACTACCGATTGTTTCTCTTTAGTAAACGCAGTGAGCCTCCGTAGATTAAAACCAAGACAGTACAAATATACAAACTCCACAGAGACCAGAGACAGAGCGGCGCCATCGAGCTGTGATCGCCCTGCAGCCAAAGCCAGAAGAGACATATAAACGGGTTTGCTGCTGATGAAAGCTCTGAACGAACCGCGACTGTCGACGCAATGCCAGGAGGTTCGCTCAGGAGCTGAATCAGAAGCAAACTTTGTAAAATTCAAACACACCGACTGCTTCCACTCTTCATTTCATTCATACTGTACATTTTCACAATTAAATATTAAAACGCAGCACGGTTTCTAAGTGCAGTGTGCTGCCCTGTCTGCATCTCATTTTTAGAAATATATTCATATATATTAGGGCATTTTATTTATCGCTTCAGCCCCGGTAACCGATCCAATTCATTTCATGGCAGGAAACTTGACTTCTGCGCCGAGGGGAGATTCGCCGGAGGACAAACCGTTACCTGCTGAAGGGGTGATGACATTTTTTAGTATTACAACATCGCCTCTTCTTCAGACTCCTTCTGATTGGCTGATTAAATATTCGCCTGTCCGTCGGCGGGCGGGCAAACGCTGCCTCTGAGACGACGACGGCGGGGAAGAGGAGTGGTGGTGGCGTCCTCGGAGCGAGGTGTGGTTGCCGTGGTGATGGTGGGGGCCGTGGTGGGAAGAGGGGGGAGGCGGGGGAGGGTCGCGGAGGGACGGGGGGACGGCGGACGATTTGATGGGGACGATTCGAGTGTCCATGACCTCGCAGTCGACCTGCATCATCATCTCGTAGCCCTGAGAGGAGTTGTACAGGCTCTCTGAGGAGGAAGAAGGAAACAAACATGAAACAGCTGATTGGTCCAGATCCTCCAGGGACACTTTTCTGCTTTTCTTGCTCTTAAATCACAGTAAAGTTGATATTTTGTGAAATTGGTGTGTTGGTTTAAATAAAACAAGACATGTAAGAATACTTAATGATGCCACATGACCGCTGTGTTTAATTTAAAAGTAACACTATTCAGTACGTTTACTCTGCTGCTGTCCTCGACATGTGACTGTACTGGAATTTAAAGGGACTTTCAACTGTTTTTGGTAGCTTTAGTCACTGTTTTCTATATATATAAAGATTTTACGTACAAGATATGATGAGCTGACAAAATATAAAGCTCTAAAAGATATTATCCAAGAGTTTATGAAGTAGCTACCACTGTAAAGGCTTGTGTCCACATGAAAATATCATCAATAATAACTATTATATATTTATGGCTTTTCATTTCATAACCCACAAGTGCAAAATTTGTGACCACAAGGACTGTGCACACTGCAGCGATTAAATATGTGACAGAAAGTCTAATTCTTTTAGACGAGAGTCATCCACATCTTAATAATTTATCTTTAACCCTCTGAAGCCCAAAAGCTCCTAGCAGGCTTGAAAGCATGTTTTTTTTGTGTTTTTTAATAACCAAAATTCCACCAAAAAATTTAGAAAAATTACAAATAATCTGAATCAGAAATCTAAAAAAAAAAAGACGAATTGTCAGATTTGTCAGTGGTCTTTTACCTACTCACTTGTAATGTGCCATTCTGTCGCAAAACTTAAAGCCTAAATTTGTGATACTTCATCAAAGTCATCATATTCTTGATGTCTCTTTAAGTAAATAAATAAACCAAATTGAACATCCATATTAAATGAAGAATCAGGGCCTTTGTAGCTGACCTGCAGGCAGTGTTTACACAGAGCAGAGAGGAGACAAGTGTGGAAATAAAAATGTACACAGTAAAATATCTATAATATGCAGAGTCACCATGTTTCCAGTAACACCTGGGGATACTTTTCAGGTTTTTCCAGTTTTTGCTCAATAAATAGTCAAAGAAATCATACTTTTTATGATTTAGGGCATTATAACTGTGCCATACTGCACAAAGGACATTTTCTCTGCTTCTAGCCCCGGTGTGTTGTTTCCATAGAGGTGCAGGACTTTATGTTGCAGTGAAAAATGAGGCCACAGTGACTAAAAATGCAACAGGAGGAAAAACACGCCCCGAGGGTACGGAGGGTTCAGAGGGTTAATAAGACAGTACTTCAGTTCATCTCTGTTTGTGTTGCTTCATGCTTCTCAGCGGTGGCCTGAGTTAAAATGTGACAGGAGCAGAAAAAAAAAAAAAGTCCAGAAACTTTCTAGCTGTCAAAGGGTTCATTTCTGTAGGAAAAAAAAGCCCCAAAACATTTCATTCTTTAAGAGAAAATCTTAACTGTGTGTCATTGTGAACCAGACTGTATCTTCTTCTAATGATGAACAAGCTCTCTAATACCACTCAGCATCTTGATGAAGTCACCGACTCACCGTTAACCGACATGGCCGGCATCACCAGAGACATTTTGGGCCGGCTGGTTTTGTTGTGGCTGATGGCCGGAAGCAGCAGGTGGTCCTGCAGGAGGAAGCAGAAGAAGCATTCTGTGTTTACTATCTGGTTTTTTAAAAACTGTGAAGGGTTCAGCTGGTCCTAAAATGTTGTCGTACCCGTCTGAAAGAGACGACATAGAACGTGTCCTCTCTGCGGTCGATGGCATCGAGGAAGTCGCTGTAGGTGACCTCTGGACCAGGAAGCACCTGCAGCTGACTGCAGACGCAAACGAGAACCAGACAGGAGAAAGAGAAAGAAAGTTCAGGGTTTGTATCGAGCTCAGTCTGAAGCTTCATCAACATGTTCCCTGCCTGAAATACTACTCAGATGCTTTTATCTGGTGTCCAGTCAAATCCTGAAATTCACAGTGGTCTCTTCATTAAAACACAACACAGAAGCCCATCAGCTACACAGAGTACTGTGGTGTTAACAGGTGCAGTGAAAAAATTGGGATGGACCTACATAAAAGAAGTTAGGTGCCCTCGTGCAGCTAATGTTAAGTTTGTGTGGAGCCCTGCACCATTTATCTTTAACATGATTAATCATAAATTATTCCTATTTTCCCCTCAAGATGTTGTGTTTTTTTGTTGTTGTTGAAGCCACTGAGATTAGTTTCACAAATGTTTTCATTCATCTTTGTTGACAACCAGTTGCTCCACCATCTGAACAGTTAACTGTTTAGAAACATGGATAGAAAGTCATCAGGACTTTATTGTTTGATTTCTTTTAGCTCCTTCACGTCTGCTGTACCTTTCTATGGAGCGATGAGCCTGGATCGGCAGGTATCTGGAGAAATTCGTCTTCCTCTGCTGAGCTTTCTGCTACCGGACAAACACAAGATGGAACGACAGTTAACACAAACTTGTTAAAAAAAAAAAAACAGCACAACAACATAATGTGTAAATTCTATAGGATATCATAAAAAAGCATCCGCATATATTCCATTTTGTACATAAAATTTGTGTCAAAAACCTCAAATAAAGTCTAAGAAAAGACAGTCTATAATGTTTTATTGCTAAACAGGAGAAAGTCAAGTTGTTTTCTTGCATTCATTAAAACAGCCTAAGAGGATGCAGAGAACTCACCTGAGCGATCTTGGCCTTCTTGGCGATCTTCGGTTTTCCTCCAGACTTCTTCCGGTCGATCTGATGTCGATGGACCCAACCTCTCAGCTCGTCTGCCAGCCTGAAAACAGAAAATACTTCAGCTTCAAACACAGAAACATCAAGAAAAAGTACGTAACATGAAGTTGAATTTCTTAAATCGGTCCACTTTTACTTTGAACAGGTCGGGCTGCTTTTTAAACACAATGGTTTGGAGAGAAAACTTCACTGGCTTGTTTCTCTCCGTTTGGTTTATGGCTTCAATTAGAAATCAAACCTTTTCTTTTAATGTTTGTTTGTTCGAGCCAACAACAAAGCAACATGAGTGAGCAGTGCTTCCTCTCCGTTAATTCAGTGGCAGTTGTTTGGACATTTAGACAAAGTATACACAAAATAACGCTGCATGCTTATCGTGCAACGCTGTGTTTAGATAAACATTGTTCGTGGTTCATCAGAAGGAGGCTCAAAGTGGGTTGATCCCCTGTTTGCGGCCTCTGCTGCCATCTAGTGTACCACCAGTGGAGCTGTATGGAGTTTTGCATGTGGTGCACAATCATGCTGATTTATGTTTGGCAAACACCAACCAAGACAACACAAAGTGAAGGAAAACTTAACAAGAATGAGCTGCCCAGTGAAGGTCGAAGTCTGTGTGGCAGCAGAGTTACAAAGACAACCTTCAGATGCTGCCAACTTTATCTTTTAACCCACTGAACTTTGGACAATTTATTGCTCCCTTCACATTTTTAATCACTGTGGACTCATTTTTCACTGCAGTGTAAAGTCCTGCACCTCGATGAAACATCACAACCACGACTAGAAGAATAGAGTACTTAGAAATGTCTTCTGTGCAGCAGTACACAGTTAGAATGTCTTTTCTTTTACATTAACGAAAAAAGTGTGTTATAAATGCTGGGGGGGAAAAGGGGCTCAAATGTGATAGATGTGTCACTATTTATGATTTTACAACCTCTACAGACTCAGAATTTTCCACACGACTCTGTATATGAACTCTAGAGAGATGTTTCACCATGCTGAATGTATCTTCCAACAACTTGCTCCTCTGTATAACATTTTTTAATCATGCATCATATTGATTCAGCAGTTTTCTCTCAGTCTCTCCTGTTGATATGCTTCCACTCGACTTTGTTGAAGGCACGAAAATCTTAATGGAATATACTAATACTGGTGTCAGAGTGAAAAATGATCCCAGCCAAGGTTTTTCTTTTTTACTGATAGACTTGTAAACTAGTCTAAATGTGACTTTCTGTTTAACTAAAAGAGAAATTAGTCACTAAGAACATTTGTAGTTGCTGTTTTCCCCCCTCAGTTTACAGGTGTTGTACAAAAATAATACCGTGATATTGAAAAAAAATTCTTAGCTACAGCTCTAAAAATAATTCCAGATAATAAATTAATAATTAAAAATGACCTGGACTTCAGTTCACACTGAGCACATCTGTACTGTTAAATCTGCCAAGTTTTAATGGTTTTAAATATGTGTTTACTTAATGTGTACAAAGAAAAGCTGGACAGTGTTTTTTTTTTTCTCTAAGATATTTTTTGGGGCTTTTCTGCCTTTACTTTATAGGACAGTGAAAGAGTGACAGAGTAACATGGGGACAAGAGTGGGGAAAGGACATGCAGCAAATGAGCCACTGGCTGGAATCGAACAGCAGCTGCTGCGCCGGGGACTATAGCCCCTGTACATGGGTCGCCCGCCCAACCTGTTGAGCTATCCGGCCGCCCGAGCTGGACAGAGTTTTTGATGACACAAGTGTGACTGACCTGAGAGACTCGGAGCGATTGAACTGCCGGCAGTCTGAGGAGGTGAAGTAACGGTCGATGTCCTGCAGAACCAGGTCCTTCATGTCACTGAACATGTCGCTCAGGTTTCTGCACAACAGCAGCAACAACACACACATACACATTAGGATGGTAAAATAAGACCATACAGTACCACACAGCAGGGACACATTTCTGTCTTGAACACGTCAACATTTAAAGAAACTTCTTTCAATCCAGTGAGTGAAGCTCTAAATTGGACACGTCAGTAGATGACAGACGTGCTGAAGAACCAGTTCTGTTGGAATCGTGTATGACTGCATTTCAGGTGATTAAAATCTTTAGAAGGATCAAAGCATGAAGTCTATCTGCCAACTTTCACTGGTGAGGAGATTCTCAGTGCAGATAAACTCATCTGAGACAGGAGAAGCCTTTTACCTTTTACGGCTCATGTCATGTGACCTTTTAAAAGTCATCAGCAAAGTTTGTAGCTGAGCAGGCAGCATCATTTAACGGCTTCCTTCTCGTGGGTCAATGTATGAGCACATGTCTGAAATGTGTTGAATGCTTCCTTCAACAATAATTTCACACTGAGCAGCAGACAATGAAAGCATGCTTACCTCTCTAAGCCCCAAAGCATGCTATCGATTTTTCTCTTTCTAGCAGTAATTGCAGGTCCATCAGGACACAAGTCTAAGCTTAAAATTGTAACATTTCATCAAAATCGCTTTTTTTCTACTTTGCTACTTTAAAAAATGTGTATAAATAAATAAACTGAACAGTGAACAATGACCCTACAGTGATTAAAAATGTGAACAAAGTGAAAGATGTCCAGAAACTGCTTAAGTTCAGAGGGTTAATCAGCTCAAACGTTTCTGTTGTGTCTGCTAACAAGACACAGCTCAACTCTCATCCTCTGCAGAGAAACAGCAGAAAGTCTAAATTAATTCAGCTCAGATTTGTTATTTCGACCCTCCAACTGATGTTTAAACTCTCTCAGCTCGACACCGTCACTGTTTTCTGCTCTGTGGTCAGACTCCTCTCACCTGAACTGATAAGACTCTGCAGTGTATCTTTCTACTCCTCCGTCCTCCTCCGTCTCTGTCTTGTCCTCCACCCTGCTGGGAGGTGGAGCTGCCGCCTGCTGCTGCTGTTGTTGCTGTTCGATCTCCAGCAGCCGTCGCCCTGAAAACGACACCATGTCGTCCTGCAGACCCGTCGACAGCTTCCTGTCGGTGATGCTGCAGAGAAAAACACCAGCACAGTTAAAGTCACATTGAGGACTGATGGTGTGGTTTTGAACTGTCTGTTCTCTAAACCTATTGTATTTATATGACACTTTTTTAAAATATTACTTAAAGAAATAAAAAGAAGTGAACAAGACAATGTCTAAAAAAACACAAAGTTTAACTCTCTGAACCTAAACAACAGCTGGCAGGTTTGAAGATCGGCAAAATGAGTTTATGAGAGCCAGAAAGAATCGTCAGATTTTCAACTTTTCAAACATCCTTGACATAACCATGTGGCTTTTGGATACATTGGCAAAAAAAAAACTAAATCTAAGTGAAAAATTGTCATATTTGACCAAAATCCCGTTATTCTACGTGTGTCATTTTAAAAAATGCCGAAAAAGAAAGTGTGCACCAGATCCTGTAAACTACAACCTTAAAGCCGTTACTGACTCAACTGTGACCGACAGTTACGTGACAAAAACTCAATGACTTCTCAGCTAAACTGCAGGCAGTGTTTACACAAAGCAGAGATGAGACAAGTGTGGGTGCAAAATGTAAGTAGTAAAATATTCATAGTATGCAGCCACCCTTTATATCTGAGAATTGTTAATAACTGTGGGCACTTTGGAAAATTATCCAGTTTTTATTGGATTTCATGAAAATGTGAAAGTTTGTAAATATAAAAGAAATACACCCTAAGTTTTTTGTCATTTAAACAACTTATGGCATGATGTCAAAACACACAAAAAAACATTAGTTTTTTTCTACTTCTAGCCATGGTTGTGCTGCTTCCTTAGAGGTGTAGAACTCTGCATTGCATTAAAACGAAAAAAGCGCCTACAGTGAAGAAAAACATAACAGCAGCAAAAACACCCAGAAGCTGCTCAAGTTCAGAGAGTTAAAAGAAATAAATCAAAAGCAAAACAAGAGTTTTAAGACGTAGCTTTGACGCCTGTAAAGACAAATTTTCGCTCAAGGCTGCGTTTTATCAGAAGAGTCTCCATGAACAGATACCTGACGGGTCCAAAGCTGAAGGTCATGAAGAGCAGGACAGCCATAACACACACAGCTCTCTTGTTGCTCGCCGAGTCGCTGCCCTGAAACAACACAAACAAGGAAGTGAATTTTAGAAACATTTGCTCTTTGCTGAAAAGTCATGTTCAACTGTTTTTACTTTGTCTGCATGTTCCGTGAACCTTTGTTTGACATCTTCCCACATATTTTTAACAGGTTTTACAAGTTCGTCTCTTCAGCGTTTTCTGTAACTCAGTTCGACCTTCCTCCTTTCTCATAATTCCTTCCACCTGTTCCACTGGTTGTTGGTAATTACATTCATAAGCAGCAGCTGCACTGTAGTCAGTACAGTGAGTGTCACTCTGCAGGGAAATCAGCAGGACTGCTCCTTTAATCACAGTTCCATCCATGTTTCTAACATAAAAATTAAACCACACACTAGGGCTGGTCCAAATAGCAATTTTTGATCTCTGGACATTCGGTCCCAATTAATGACGAATATCCCTAATATTCGGGGGAGGGCGCATGGTGCGCTCAGGCTCCGACGGGCCGGAGTGGGCGTGACGCACAGGCCACATTTGGCTACTAAGACCAGCTTCTGTGTTTAGGTTAGCGGTGACGGCACCTTTTCCGCAGGGGGTATTCAGAGATCAAGTTTGATATCCCCATTCCAGCACAGCGAACGAATAGTCGGCTATTCGGCTATTCAAGTCCAGCCCTAACACACACTGAAGCACTTTCTTCCATAACAATATGATTAAATCTGGCAACACAAACACACATTACTAGAAGTGTAAAAGTGTGTTTTTTGTGCTGCTTCAGGGTGTCTGTGACATCAACTCTCCTGCTGTTTTACCAGATACTTGGAAAAATTCACCACTTAAAAGCCTCACACCTAAATCAGCATAAAATTTTAAACTTTAGCTAAAAGACACAACTTTAACCCTCTGAACTCCAAAAAGTTTAGTGGTATTTTTGGCTACCATCTGTCATATTTTTATTCACTGTAGCCTCAGTTTTTTTTTCCGGCATTTTAAGTTTTTGCCCTTTTCCGGAAACCACGCTTGCTTTGAGTCGGGAGAACTCAAACATATATTTTGTTGAATTTCTTTGGATATTGATTGTACAAAACTGGAGAAATGTTGTACATGTAAATGCTATAAATTTGGGGGATTTTTTGAAAGATAAAATGCCATTCCAACCTGCCAGTGGTATTTGAGGTTCAGAGGTTTAAATCTGCAGCTAACTTACGTTTATGACTTGATTTGCTGTTCTTCCTAAGTTATTAACTGATTCTAAAGTCATATAAATCACTTTGTGGATTTTAAATGTATGTCTGTCTTACACATCCTTTAGTAAAGTGTGCATCCGTATTATTCTAATCTATCCTAATACTTGCTCTCACCTCCTTCCCGGCCAGCCTCTCCCTCAGCGCCTGGTTCTCCCTGCGAAGCCGTTCGTTCTCCTGCTGGGCCTCCCTCAGCTGAGCCTCCAGGTTCTGCAGGTATTCCTTCTTCTTCTTCCTTGACTGGCAGGCCGACTCTCTGTTCTTTATCATCCTCTGCTGCCGCTTCAGCACCTTCATCTGCACCGGGAGTGGAGAGGAAACAAGACAGAAGGGAAGAAAGAAGAAGGGATTGTTAAGTAATTTAGACGAGTTTGGAGTAAAACCCACAGTTCTTCAGTTTGGGGTCTATAAACATTTTGTTTTTGGTGTGGAGTGCAGGTTTTTATTACATCAGGCTCTTGGTGTTTCACTTGACACCTCTTACATAAGATCTGATATATGAACACTCAGTGGGCCTCAGGCTGTTGGATTATATCACAAAACCTGCTTAACTTCCAAGCCTTCTATTTCTGTTCCCCCTCACTCCATTACCTCTCTTCCTCTGACTGTCCTCCAACTTTCTGCCCTTCCTCTGCCTCCTGTTTTAACATCCTCCTCACAACTCCTCCTCTTTTCTTTCCCTTCACTGACTCTCCAAACCGGCTCCTTCTGTTATCTTCTAAACTGTCAAACCATCTGTTCATTTCTTCTCCCTCTTTGTTGTTAGGTCAGTGAGGAACCTTAAAAAGAAACTTATTACAACACGAAAAGCAGCATGCAGCCACTGCATCCAGTCTACTCACATCGATGTCGTTGGAGTTGTTGCCGGGTAGCGGTGCGGTCGCCGGGACGATGGGTTTGCTGGCGGGCGGGGCCGTGGGGCTGGAGCAGTGCTGGGGGATGCTGGGAGAGACGGGCTCCATCTTGACGATGGCCGGAGCTGAGCCGAGGCAGACGGACTGAGAGAGGACGACTGGAGGTTGAGAGACGACAAGAAGGTCAAGTGATGCTGCAGGAGATTAAAGCTGCTGTATCTGCATGCCCAATAAAAATCATCTCTAGTTGCTGTCCGAAACAACATGATACTTTTGATTACACTTGGGGGATTAAGCAACATTTTAAAAGCAGAACCTTTTCTTGTTATTGACTATTTTTACTGCTGGTAAAGAATTCTTCCTCCACCTCTGCGAGTAACTCAGTGTTTTGTTATTCTAAGTAGGTCTAAACTAAAATATTGATTCACCATATTCACACATTCTTTCACATTCAGAATTAAATAGAAACGCTACAGCGGGAGTTTCTCCTCCTACCGGGTCGGGTCTGGTCCATGGAGGGCAGCCCCTGCAGTATGAGTGTTTTGGCCGGCGTGGGCGTCTGGGGTACGGGGAGGGTGGTGACACACACGGGTCTGGGCTGGATGGGAGGTTTGGTGCTCAGGATGGTGCTGGCCTTTAATGTGGCCGAGCTCGGCAGCACTGAAGGAGAGGGACAACGGAGTTTCTTTAGAGTTAAGTGGAACGTTTCTCATAGAAAGCAGATATTTTTAGGAAACTAACAGTGTATTTTGGACAAAACGGTGACACATTTCAACTGTTTTGCAGAGCAGAAACTGTCAGATACTGGAGCTGTCACCCACACACGTCTCAGCAGTGTCTGATGTCAAGTGGAAAACTAATGCAACGATTTGGCAAGCAAACTAGGCGGAGCAGCTCATCACATGCACACACACTGAAGTTATTTGACTTGACACAAACAAGTATCTTCAGTGGAATGATTAGCACAAAGAGAAAAACAGGGATGTTGTTCGGCAGAGCTGCTGTGTCTGTGTTGGACTAATTTTGTCGATGGAAACAATAATAATCCTATTCGCAACAAAAAGCATAATAAAGTCATTTTAGAAAAACAGTGACAACAAGAATGACATGTTTCATGAACAAATGAAAAACCAAATGAACTTGTGTTTTAATGTGTAGTGAAGTGTACAGCTACAGAAGCACACTGTAGCTCCTAATCAGTGACAGTTTCCTCGACCTTCCAGTAACATCCCCTTTTCAGAAGTTGATTTTGAAGTGTGTTTCACTGAGAAATCTTCTGTCTCTGTTAGGAATGTTTTCTAATTTCTCATTCTTAGAAGAAACACATTCACAGCCTAAACTTCTCTACAATGCACTGAGAATTAGACAAGCAGCAGCGGCAACAGCTAACACAAACTAAAAAGATGCAAGTAGCACCAAAAATAAAAAA